GAGATTTCCTACAATAACACATACAGAAGTTTCTTTAGAGCCTTCTTCATATCTTTGTTCCAGAAGTTGTAGATCAGGGGATTAAAGAACGGAGTTGCCAAGGCATAAAACAAGGTCACAAGTTTCTGCATCCCATGAAACTTCCCAGTACCTGGGCTAACATACATCACCATGACTGAACTGTAGAACAGAGACACCACAGCAAGGTGGGAGGCACAAGTTGAGAAAGCCTTATGCCTTCCTGGTCCTAACGGCACCTGTAACACTGTGCTTAGAATACAGAAGTAAGTGCCAAGGATGTACAGGAAGGTAAGAAAGATGATGAGAGAGCTAATGATACCACAGGTCAGAGTAATTCCAGATACTGGAGCACAGGACAATGCAAGCAAAGGTGCCAGATCACACAGAAAATGGTCAATAGTGTTTGGACCACAGAAGGGCACCTGAGATATTAGGGTCAAAGGAGTAAGTAACCACAGAAAGCCACCTGCCCAGCAGAAGATCACTAACCGAACACATAGGCGATGGGTCATTATGGTGGGATAGTGCAAAGGTCTACAAATAGCAAGAAATCAATCAAAAGACATCACTGACAGAAATAAGCACTCAGCAGCACACATGGAGAAGAAGAAGTAGAACTGGAGCAGGCAGCCAGCATAGGAGATGCTCTTGGCCTGGGAGATGAGGTTGGCCAACAGTTTGGGCACATCAGAATTGATGTAGCAGATCTCCAGGAAGGAGAAGTTGGCCAGGAGGATGTACGTGGGCTTGTGGACAGCTTGACCACACAGCACAGATGATGGATGTGTTCCCCATGAGTGTCAGGAGGTAGATGAGGGAGAAGACCACAAAGAGGAGGTTCTGGATCTCCCTGCTTCAATATCATTGCTTGTTATTGATCTGTTAAGGTTTTTTATTTCTTCTTGATTCAGTCTTGGTAATTTATATGTGTCCAGAAATTTATCCATTTCCTCCAGGTTTTCCAATTTGTATTTCTGTGGTATCAGTTGTTAATGTCTCGTTTTTCATTTCTGATTTATATTATTTGGGTCTTCTCTCTTCTTTTTTTGTTAACCTAGCTAATGCTTTGTCTATTTTATCTTCTCAAAAGAATGTTTTGTTTTATTATCTTTTGTATCTTTCTTTGGGTCTCTATTTAATTTAGTTCTGCTGTGATCTTAATTCTTTTTTTCTGTCTACTAATTTTGGTTTTGGATTGTTCTAGTTTTTTATATGTAACATTAGGTTGTTTGAAATCTTTCTATCTTTTGATATAAGTGGTTATTGCAATAAACTTCCCTCTTTTACTTTTTAGGCAGTATCCTACAGGTTTTTGTATGATGTTTCTTTATTTTCACTAGTTTCAAGAAATTTTTGATTCCCTCTTTTACTTTTTAGGCAGTATCCTACAGGTTTTTGTATGATGTTTCTTTATTTTCATTAGTTTCAAGAAATATTTTCTGTTTAATTTCTTCTTTGACCTATAGGTCACTCATGAGCCTGTTGTTTATTTTCCATTTATTTGGATAGGTTCTTGAGTTTTGCTTGTTATTAATTTTTAGTTTTAATTTGCTGTGGCTTGAAAAGATACTTGAAATGATTTCAGTTTTTTTCTTGCTAGTCACAACATTTATTTAAATATTTATTTATTTTTGATTAAACATATTTATGGGGTACAGAGTTTACTGTTAGTATTTGTTTACAGTATGTGATGATCAAATCAATATTACTAGCATGTTCATTATTACAAATCATAATTACGCTTCTTGTGTCTTACCCAGTTATTCTCTAACCATCATCCATCCTCTCCCTCTCGTTTTCCCATCTATGGTAATTATAGGTTTGTTCTCTCCTTCTGAAA